TTTAAATTTGAAGATACAACGCCAATGGTGTATATAACAATGTATAGTTGGATGAATATGCTAAAGTTAAGTTTTATAAAAATTTTATATAAACAGTAAACCGGAAACTATAAGAGACCAAGATTAAAAATCATAAGTTTTACAGAACTGTAACAAATAGAAAGAAGATACACTTTATTTATGCATCCAACGATGATGTGAAATGTAAAGCTGTAAAGTATTGGTCCAGAGTATTAAAGTGTTTGATGAGTTGATTTTGCATAACAATTTTGTTAGGCTGAAATACTGCTAAATTGAAAAAAAGACCTCGCTTAATAAAATTCAAGGGGTATTCTTGATTATTTCTTATCATGTTTTCTGTGTTTGACTAGAGTTATAACGTGCTGTGGTTGAAGTCTTATTTAAATGCAGGTACTTTCTAAATCATAATAGAAAACAAAAGTAAAGGCAAGATTTTTGCTTGTTTAGATTTTTATTTGAATGTCAATTTATAAATATTGATGACATGCATATCCAAAATATAGTTAAAAATATAAATGATTTTAAATCGAAATAATATGCTCGTTTTACATATTCTGTTACAAAACCGCTATTAAATTTTTAATCTATTGTTGGATAATCTTACGTTAATATAAACATTTTATGTATATGTTACAATTTATCATTTATCATTTATACTCGTTTAATGGGTATTTTACGATAATCTGTGCTCTGTGTTTTATCAAATGTTAAGATAACATGTGTAACGCTCTGCAATACAATTGTAATACACAAAACTTCTTTGGTTAATTTATGAATAACCCGCTTATATGTTCACTCTGTAAAACTACCCATTCATGAGCTTGTGATAACATAAACACAGAGACTATGTGCCATGTATATCTGTATGCTATACTAAAAAAGTGAAATATATTTCAAAACATGATGCTTACAATACACACACTAAGATAAATTCAATACAGGTTGTAGAGAAATTCATTGTCATAACATCAATATACTTAGAGTGATTAAAAAAACGTCTCTCGAAAATTGTACCCTAACCCGTGAACTTGAATAGTATTACTGAAAATAAACTGGTTTTATTCTGGATTATAAAATAAGCATTATTTTATAGTTTGAACATAAGTTTATTGAAGTATAAAGTCATCTATTATTATTAAACAAACTTATAAAGTTATACATTTTTCATTTAATTGGGAATATTAGCTTAAATCTATTTACATTAAGATACAAAGTTTATTACTCGCTTTCTGTGTGAGATAACGTCAAAAATGAATTAATATGTACAAACATTTACTTCACAAAAACAATGTCAAACAGCTTTTTAAAATGTAAATCTAATTTACATCTTTAAACAGTTACTCAGTTTAATAGTCTGTATTATCACTTGATAATAATTATCATTTATTTCATAAAATAGGTACATACGCCTTTTTATGAATATTAAGTATTAATAAATGAATATCACTTATTAATAAGTATTTACAAAATGAATACATGCATAAACAATAAGTAATAGAAAGAGCACCGAAACACGAGGCTATCTGATTTGTACGAGGGGGCGTAGCCCCCGAGTATTAATCAGATTGCCGAGTGTTTTGATGTTCTTTCTCTTTTGTATCATAGTCAAACATAAAAGCACGTTCCCTGTTGTCACAATATGAAACCCCGGCAAAAAAGAACCAATGAACGAACATCTGAATATGACATTTCTGTCGCTTTCACTTTCTCTGCCGTCACAATATGTAAACCCCACCAAAAATGAGCCAATCAATGGGCATGCTCTGGAGTGCGGGTAACTAATACCCGCAATCCAGTTAACGCACTGTGCATGTATATGTATACGATTTAACCCTGACACATTTTCAACAGAAAGGTCTCCAAACTATGATACAAGTACAGTTATAAAGTATTTGGATGATGAAAATTGGAAATACAATTGTTAAACAACAAAACATAGTATGATATTTATAAAAACAACATGTACATAATTAATGTAGACTACATATTTACATGTTTAGTGAGACGTAGATATGAAAATTACATTACTTTTAACAAATTATTTTTTATAATAAATGAAGAAAGTCACCTGGAATTATCAAATAAACAGATTATCCAAATTTTACAGTTTGAACATACGTTTATTGAAGTAAGAATTCATCTGAACCTCATAAATGGTTCCTTGTCTTTTGTTAGCCACATATTTCTATGGCAACACATTGCATAATAATACTCATTTTCTGTTTGAAACTGTATTAAATTAATTGAAATATTTCGTTTAAACCAACAGCTAAAATGATTTCAGCTTTGGGATTGGATAACAGCTGATTAGTTATCAAACAATTCAAAAGTTTACAAAAGAGTTCCAGGATATGTAATTGTAAGTAAGTAGGTTTTGACATCTAGAGTATTTAAAAGCTTTATGTCAATAGTAATCTACTTTAACATCAATATTCAAGTCCCAAGTATGTGTTTTTAATATGAAATGTTTCGAAGAAAAAACAAAAGGGCCATGATGGCCTTAAAATCGCTCACCTGTTTATAAAACTCTCCATGACAAGGAACATATATTAGTATTATTGTAATCTATAAACAAAAGCAGAATATAAAATCTAAAACTGATATCACAAAGTTCATATTTGTATCTGAATTAGTGCATGTGTAAAAAGATTACTGGTTACCATTACTTAGGGAAAGAACTTTTAGAAAGAAGGGCTTTTATTTGAACATTCTTTGTAGACACCCACTAGAAGATGTTTCATGCCAAATGTCTAAGCTCTGGCTCTTTGGGTGTTTTAAAAGGATTTTCTCCATGAAAATCTAGACACTCACTAGAAAATGTACCATGTTTAATATCTAAGCTCTAGCTCTCTGGTTTTTTTTTAAATATTTTTTTTTACTATAGACTTTTTACAGTACGATTTTTCTATAGCAACGTATGTTGCATTTTAGCGCATGCGCATTCTGCGTAGGGCCAAAGCTCAATAAAGATATAATACATTCTAGTGTACTTTAAGGCTTTAAAAGGCGTGATTTCAAGTTATGTCACCCAGATAAAAGAAATTTTGGGAATGAATAGAGGTGGTAAGTACTTAAAACGTGAATTGATATGTTATAACAGATACACAAAATTAGCGGGACTTGTAATTCAACGACCAAAAGTCCTCTATTCAAGGTATCATTAGGTGACTTTTTCATCAGTAATTTAAATTAAAACAGCAGGGTGTTAAAGATCACATATTATTACCCATGTATAAAATATAATATATTCCTTTGAAAGTGGATTGGCAAGGCGGTAAGTGTCAAACAAGTTGGCTCGTGACCGGTTTGTTATTTGCCAGCTAGTTTATCATTCAACCGGGTCGTTTTAGTAACATGACATATTAATTTCTTAAAACTATGAAAATGATTAATCGTAATTTAAGTAACTTTCATTTATACCATCTCATCAATTTTTATTGATTTTGTGATGTGACAAATAGTGTCCGTGACGTGCATCTTCCATGTGTTACAAGGAACCGGACAAAATGTGTGTTATTCCACCACTCATCTTAACTTCTCAAGAGTTTAAAAATTATTTGAATATATATGTGACTTAAAATTTTTTGTTTGGAATCTCAGTCAAGTCGGATAAAGGATTAAATTAGCTAAATTGAAAACTAAAACCCATTATAAACACGTGTACTGACTTTTTTTCAGATTGATAATTAACCTCGATTTTTTAAATGTTATATATTATATGTTATAATAAAATAGTTTTTATATGTTGACGATTTCAACAACAATTAAATTGACTTCCTTATTTGCTTATGTGCTAATATATATATTTCAACATTTTTTACAACAATAATTTCAATGTCAGGGTCGTGATCATAAGGGGGAATTCTTAAAAAAAATCGTCTTTCCGTACCCTTTTAGCCATATTGTCCATAAAGCTATGAAGACATTTTTTGTGTTCTGTTAAAAGCTATTTTATATGATTTTCTAATTTTTACCTTAAACTAACTCCGAATTGTCTATGAATTTATACTACATTTCTATGTAGGGCAAGGCTCTTTTGCCCTACGCAAATTGCGCATGCGCGAAAAACTACCACTTCCAGTCAATTTTTATAGCATCCGACCGCGTCGTAAAAAGGTCTATATACATATAAGGAAAAACAATCGCCTCCCCTGGGTCGGGCCAATTTTTGACCCAAGAGCTTTTATTTGAACAACATTGGTAGACACTCATTAAGAAAATGTTTCATGCTTAATATCTTAGCTCTAGCTCTTTGGGGTTTTTTAAAAGAATATTTTTCAAAAGTTTTTACATTAGACATATATGGACATTCAATGACCCCCGGGGCAGGACCAATTTTGACACCAGGGCTTTTATTTGAACAAACTTAGACACGCAAAGAAGATGTTTCATGCCAAATATCTAAGCTCTATCTCTTTGAGTTTTTTAAGGAAGATTTTTTAAGTTTTACAATTGACATATGGGAAAACCCATGACCTCCCAATGTGCGGGACTAATTTTGACCTCAGTGCTTTTATTTAAACAAACTTAGAAGACACTCACTAGAAGATGATTACTGCAAAATATCTATGCTCTAGCTCTTAAGGGTTTTTTTTTAAAAAGATTTTTTAAAGTTCTTTCCTTTCAGTTGCCATGGCAACCAGAATTCTATATGGAATTAAATTTTTTGAACAATTTTCAAAGTTGACCACCAGAGGAACATTCTTGTGAAATTTGAATGAAATTTGCTCAGTGGTTTATGAGGAGTTGTCGTTTAAAGTAAAATTTAATGGACGACGGACGGACAGATGCCGGACGAAAAGCGATGACAAAAGATCACCTTGTCTCTTTGTGACAGGTGAGCTCAAGAATTACGGTATGTAAAAAACATACTTTCAAAGAATTCATTAAGCAAGTTTTCTAGTATTATATTTGTAAACATAATTACTTGAAAAATTCCTTAAAAGATTGTGCAAGTACATATGAGGCATAACATCGTGAACAGGTAGACTTAATTTCATTTATTACGACAAGTAATATTATCAATTACTAAGTAATATACAATATGGAACATGAAATATAAGCTAAATATGAAATTATGAAAATCCAAATTGACATGTATACATAGAATATGAACAATATAAAAATTGTCTGCATTAAAGGGACTTCACTGAGGCTTTTTTGACATAACGGGACTAGAAATAATCTTTAGAGATTAATATTCCATTTGCTATGTGTAGATCAATAAATTTTGAATGTGTTAACTTCAGATCATTTTCTAGGATAATTATTCTAATTGAATATTATGAAAAAATGACCGTATACATCAATGTATACATCAATACTGCAACGTCTTTCACTCAAATCGAGCTATAATTTTCAATTAATTTCAGAGTATATTTTCTGAATTTCTTTTACATATCTCTTTTGACCAATGTAAGAAATTAAAGTCTGATGTTTTAGACCTAAGTGGAGTTCCTTAAATACAAACATTCAGGTATAATATGATCATTTATGACTGACCTGTCTGTAACGACAACTGACACAAATTACAACCATATTATTAAGGAACTAGAAGAAAATATATGTTTCTGGATTATAACTTATGTTAACCATATATATTTATCTAAAACAAACAAAAAGTAATTAAAAAAAATAAGTTAATATTTTTATAATTGCATGCTCTTTAAAAATAAACAAAGTGAAAACGTGCACAGAGACACTGACTCAAGGGTTAACATAAGCTAGAAGTGTTTATTATTATATCTAATTAAACATAAAATGTATCAATTTGGTTTGACAGCCTATAATATGCTTAATCCAGTTTTACACACAATTGGCTTGTCGAGTTAAACTGACGTTCTATTAATTTGAAAAGAAATCATAAAATATTTTTTATTTAACAGTTTTTCCTATAGCGTGTTTGAAAACGGAGACATTTTATTAATCTATAAAATTTGAGGAAATTAATATCATCTTTTTGTTAATGAATATGAATGAAGCAGGTGAGTACAGTGAAACTGCATAGACTGTCTATGTTTGGGAACAGAAATATACATGTTACAATTACATATTATCCGTTTACTCTAAGTAAATTGTACGAAATAATGCGTTCCCGGTAGCTGTTGAGAATATGATTAATCTGGAATTATCTTTGTCAAACACCATTTTATATTCATACATTTGTTGAAACTGGAAAATCTCTTCATTGTTTTTACATATTTCTGAGAGCACCATCAAGTCAGTGTTCACCTGTAAAATCTTGAAGTCCCCAGCCTGTTTTCCAAATACGAATACACTGTCCTCAGTAGCAGCACATATACACTCAGGTAGAAATCCTTCATTTCTTAAATATTTAAGTTGCTTAAGTCTGGGATCCTGACATATGATACAATTATTGCCAAAATCAGAATCCCAAGTACTGATGTACTTTTGTAATGAACATGGTAAAATATTGTCGGCAGCAATTTCCATGAGTTCTACTCTTCTCTTTATATTTAGATTTGTATCTAAAATTAATGATGCCCCATAAGTAAAACAGTTAATCTTATTCTTGAAGAAGGAAATATTTGTGCACTCAAACCCCACATCTATAGATTTGATGAATTGAAGACTTCCGCTTGATATTCTATACAATCTTAATTCTCTTTTCACAGACATCACCACATCCCCAGTATCAGTACAGCAGATATGTTTTGTAGTATACCAGTCTTCTTTTATATCCGTATTGTAGTAACATTGGTATTCAAAGTCTGAACTGATATGAATAATAACAGTTTTATATCTCTGAGATGTATAGATGGAATCATCTTTATTATCATTAACTGATGATACTTGTATTTTGGCTGAATAGAGAAATGACCCATCTGGATGTTGACAACATTCTTCCATCTCGTAAATTTCCACATTTTCAGGAGTTTTAATTGTATGCGTTTGGATCATCTTTACTCTGTTATAGGATGATGTGTTCGGACTGAAATATAATAATAATACATGAATAAAACAGTATTATTGACAAATGATGTCAAAATCTAATGCTTATACAAAACATGTTTACCTCCTGGAATTTCATCATCATGAAAGTGCTTATATATTAAAAAAATCACTTCCTAAAATATTAATGTGTATGTTCTAGACCTTTAAGAAAATATAATACAGGTATGTGTTTGTGTAGATGTACTTGAATAATGATACTAAATAAAGGGCAGAGGTTTTCCAGTGGTACGTTTGTTTATCTGTTATTCAAGTGAAAGTGATCTTAGATTCGAGCCCTATATCGTGTACATTTGTAATTACCGTATTTACTCATTAGCCAAATGAATGAAGCGTTACCGAAAGGGATTCATATTAATTTTTGAACGCTGTATATAATATAACACCATATATATAGAATCAAACAGACATGTTCTGCGTACAGGACTTTTATCAAGTCTTTTTTTAAAGGTGTAGACAATGTAGTAGTAAATAGGTTGTTTATTTAGAATACAATTGTTGCAGTTTTTAAACAGTGATATTTGACTGATCATTGTTCTACACTGAAATGAATAAACTGACAGTTTTTGGTCACATTGAACCATACATTTATCACAGAATATATTGTTAATTCAAATGCCTTTAAATTCACTGAAATTAAAATTATCCAAGATTTTTCTGAGGAATACGAGTTATATAAGAAGATAATAATCATGATAATAAATAGAACTTTCTTATAATGTTTGGTTTTTCATAACAACCTCTTACTATTACACTTTTTTCTTAAACTTATTTCATCTTCCCAATATACAACATCATTACACCTTAATACAACTTGGCATGATCAAATTTACCTATTTAAGATATAAAGCATACAACACATATGGACTCAGCATTAAAGTCACAATTCACTTAGTCTACAAACATGTTAAACGCTAACTGTGGGGGTGGGGGCACAATGACTCTATGTAGTCCGATGTATTGTGTGCTATTTTATATCTTACACCACCTGCACTTTTCCCTTTTGGATATAGAAGGACCAAAAGTGCGTGTAAATTTGCAATAAAATTACCGTTGATGATCTCTATTTTGATATGTGACGAAACCATTAAAATGTGACGCGCTGAAATAAATCAGACGCACCTTGATATAAGGTGGGCAGAAGTTTTTGTTGATGTGTGGTAGAACCGAAATGATATAACCCAAGCGCAATTATTCATCGCTTATAATCTAGAATTCGTAATAATGCACAGTTATAATGTGCGTTCAGTGGAATTCTATTCAAGACTTAACACCGTACGCGGTATTTCGATCTTGACTCAAATAGCGCCAAGATAAACGTGGTACTGTAACGCCATCCAAGAGCTTTATCAGTTAAGAATAAAGCTCTAAGGAGTTTTTTCACAATATAACATTAAAAAAATGATGCTTGTGTTGATCAATAGAGCTCCCCGTCATGAACTTTGTTAAATCAATGTTGTCGTCATCATCATATTCATCACTATTATCATCATCAAAATCATCACCTAATCCATCATCGTCATCAACATCATCATCAATAAAAACAGCATCACGTCCATCATTATTCAAATCATGATGAATATTGTCATTATCATCATCATTCATCATAATATGCCCCTTCCTTATAAAATAATCATGATGCCTATTAATATCGAAATGATTATAACCTTAATATTCATCACTTTAAAATCAGTACCACGCTCATTGTCATCAAAATTGTTATCACAACCATACTCTTCATCGAAACCATAATTACCATTGCCTCCGTAATCATCATTTCTGCCATTTTATCGTCATTAAAATATTATCATTATCTTCTTCAACATCATAATCAGGATATTAATAATGCAGAGTCATTCACACCTGCATACCAACATTATCATCATTAATCATTACACTGATCATCAGCATTAGATCATTATAACTCCTATCATTATCATCAAGATCATAATTATCATCTCTTTCATCATCATAATCATAACTACCATTTTATATCTATTATTATCATCACATTATGGATTTTTTTATTATCTTATCATAATCAGCTTGGTTTGATCACTGTCAACAGCATCATAATTATTTTTTATGGTAAATGATATGAAGTCCGATGTCTATTTTCTTATATTTTTTAATATAAATAACAGGGAAGGAAATTGTTGATCTCATTCATGTTTTGGATATATTTATATTTGTTTTTTTTTACTATAACATTAATAAACATGTAATAAATTCGTGTAACTTGATAAAGCTGTATGCCTCTAGATGACCAAAAATATTTCAAGAAAGTCGAACTAGAGGAAAATGGGCCTTTTTGCCATTTTATGGCATTTTTTGGTTATTTATTTGAATCATAATTTGTTTTTGTTTTGCTCACTGTACAATATTTTACCTTAAATACATTTTCAAAATATTCAAGAAGATAAGCATGAATCTGGAGGCATGATGCTTTAAATATAGTGCCTAAACGAGCCTTCTTTCTGTTATACAAAGAAAGATACAAGTTGAAGTATACATTGATTGTAAGTAAAAGATGCTTGTTATCGCAAGTCAGGGTACATATTGAATTGTATAGACTCGAAAGATATGAAAAAATGATTTTATTTATCCATTTTGTTAAATTTGAGACATCCTTATTAATTCGAATGTGAAAAAGCTATATGGTTATAGATAGAGCAATGAGCTTAAATTTACAACGGCTTGTCCCTGTTGGTATTGAACCAACACAGCTACCAGAGAGGTACGAGGGTTGTTCAAAAAGTAATAGGACTAAGAGTCTTGCATCTTCATATTCAATTCTATTTAGAATATTTTTATATGTAACAGCGATCGAATTAATCGTGTTTCTTCAAATTTAAGCCATAAAATACTGAATTCTTGTGCCTTTTACGCCTTGTTCCCCGTTGTTATCAAATTTAAAACCATGGTCAACAACGCAAAACCCGGCGCAGCACATAAAAACGTTATTGAAGCTTATTTTGGAACTTCTATTTTATTATATTTAATTTATTTTCTTTTTTTCCCCATTATTCCCACCAACACAATTATTTACATTTAAGTTGACATTATGCCCAAACTTGACGTCATTCAGACATGAAATGGCTAAATCATCAAGTTTTGAACAGCAGTGGTCATAACGTTTAAATGAGAAATTTGACGTTCGTTAAAAAAAACTGAAAATGTGTGCGATCAGTTAACTTGCCAACAAATTGGCGATACTCCTTTAGATACCCCATTATGAAAACATAAAATTAACACAGTACAATTAATCGGCTATCAGGATACTCGTTCCCAGCTTTCCGCAAGCAATTCAAAAACTGCACATACGAAATCACAAACCCCAGGAAAAAGGATGAGAATGATAGCGGGAAATTGAACGGGATGTTAGTGACGTCAAATGCAAAAAGCGCTACAAAATGATCGACGGTAAACAGTCACGAAATTGTCCGGCATGTTTGATTTCTGCATTCAGATCTGCCCAAATGTTTTGTTTCAAACAAAATTCTATTTCATTAAACTAGATATATGTTTATCAGTATTTAATATGTAATAATGATTAACGGTAATTATTAATATTTTTCCCCGTTTTCTTTTAAAAATGATATGCTGTTCCTAGTAGGAAAATATTACTTTTTCAGTTTGATAACTATTTTTATTTACTTACATAATCATATTGTTTTAATAACGTACGATGATATGTGTAAAAATAATTATATTAATCGCTTTTTTATTAGCATGCATAAGTTCATGGCTGCTTAATCTATATCGATTACTATTAGATACAAGAATACGAGAAAAAAGCGGGAGAGTGGCCGGCTTTCGGGCTTTTTTTTTATCGGAGAGTGAACAAGAATGTATCGTTTTCTTTCTCGCTTCATTCTCCACATTATGAGGTCTGGTCAAAGTTACATGATTTAGACTCCTAGAACACTAGGGAGAATTCTTTTCAGAAGGGATGACGCTTGATACATTTTGTTTTTATTTTACCACGTCATAAACGTCATCTATTGTGCTGTTAGCGTGCGCCGGGTCGCGTACCCCTTGTTTTTTGAAATTTTCACAGACTCGTTATTTCTAAACATATTTCATTGATTTTTTCACTGTAGATAGAGGATATGTTCCGATATTATTATCTTGTAAAATTGTGCACGTAAATTAAAAAATGTGAACAGTAGAACTGCAGTCCTATTACTTTTTGAACCACCCTCGTAACCACCCGGCAACGGTGCCACTTATATCAGAAAGAATATTTTCAAACCTTTCGAATTCACGGTGATGGTGTTGTAATGATGGTACTTATGAGGATTTCACAGATGATTTTGTTGATGATGTACTTATGATGATAAAGATAGATAATATATCAATACTTATGATGATGTTCTGATGATAATGATAATGATGATGTTCTATTGATTATGACGATGTCGACTACGATTCTGATGATGATGATGATGATGCCTGTTTATTATGATGTTGTACTGTCAAAGATGATGTTCTAACAATGGTGTACTGATGATAATATATAAAAAAGAAGAAGAAGAAGAAGTAGAAGAAGGTGAAGAAGGAGTGGAAGAAAAGATGATGATGACAATGACGATAATCAGTAAAATGATTTGTGGGAAGCTATATTCGCTGCAATTCTAGTTTGATGTTAACTGATAATGCTCTCAGGAGAGCTATATTCGTTGAGAGCAATATGTGGCGAAGAGATAACCTTCAAACGCCACCCTTATATATAATAATTCTTCTTTATACGCATTTGCTGAATATTAACCATTGAAATATAATATTCAAAGAGCTATGACTATTTAAATTTGGTTAATTTAATAAGGTCGAAAAAAACTATTGCGGCATTGATCAGCTGGAAGTTAAAGTATTGCGGAAAAAGAACAGCTTGTTTCAGCTTGATATAAAGTCAAAACAATTACATCAAGCTCATTTGCCCTAAAATTCAAAAGCTTCAATTCTGCATTTATTGAACTTGTCGAATTCAATATTACGGTCACCTTTGGCTTTAAATTTGTAAACATGCTGCCATAACAGACCAGAATGTAAGACCCGACGGGACCTATTTACAGCGGTAAAGTGACTTTGTCATATTTCTACCAAACAGTTACCAGGGAGCCGGATATTTTAACATATAACGTCATCCAGTGTTTACTTGTATGTTGTTTACCTGCACTTCAGTTACCGCACTCACTGTCTGTCGGGAATATAAAAAGAGTATGCTTGTTGATAGGCTCATTTTTTGGGGGTTTACTTATCGTGTCGATAAGGAAAGGGAAAATGATAGAAAAGTAAAATTCAGATGCTCGTACATAAGTTACTTTTCATATTGTGAAAACAGAGAACGTGTCTTTATTTTGCCTATGAAACAAAAGAGAAAGATCATCAAAACACTGTGCAATCTGACAAATCATAAATCCGCCACAATATCTACATAACCATTATCATCATCTTATCAGCATCATCATCATCATTTTCATGATAATCATCAGCATGATCATCATCATCAGCAGCAGCATCACCATATTTAAATAAACAATATTATTGAAAACGGCCTTATTTAATTAAAAAGCACATCGTATGTTCATTTTTATATTTTTGGGTAAGTGACAAAAACGTTTTGATGAGCAAAGAAAAACTCAATCCAACCGAATATGGCACATTTTATGTTGAATTTTTTGTTTGTTCCATTTTCGGCTGAAGAGTGTGCTTTATCCGACTGAATATGTCACACATATAGAAATTTAAGTAAAAGTCTATTCATATTCATACATCAGTCGTATGCTTATGTCTTTTTTTGATGTTTCGATGTAAAATCAAAATATATTTTACCTGGGACAATTATAACCTTATTTGTCCCATATTTTACTTACCCACACAAAATAACAATAGATAATAAAAACAAGTTATGATTATAAAAATTCTGCTTGTTACACAATAACATTTATCCTAAAACAAACACTTGACAATTAAGTATCAACTGGAATAGAAAAAAACGAACAAAAGAGCACTAACCTTTTTCCAGCATACACTACAGAATTACCATCTGAAAACATATTTGAGATCGTATTTTTTCCTTTATGCAAACAAGAATAAGATCTTTTTTAAATACATTTATATGTAAATATATATCTTAAGCCAGCAAACGTAAATAAATGAATAATTACCAAAATTTAAGATTCAATATTGAAACAAATATTCGGAAAATTTAAGATTAAATATACTGATAGATGGAACATTTCATACGAACCTGTCGATGACTCTGTCTTGATTTCAACAAAACAATCTTTCGGTAATTCAATGACAGTTTCCAGCATTGGGTGCTTCGAATCGTGAACGCATGAACTCAACCGGTCTTTTAGACATGTGATAATCACGTTTAGTTTGCCATCTTTGACTGCCGAGTAGAGCATATCAAACTTCCGCAACCACTTTTGAATAACGGACATTTCGAACATGTACTTTCCTCCAAGATCTTCGATGATCACAACACAGGTGACACCGAATCTAATACAACTGAGATCACCCGGTTCTGTTAGTATGAGATAATGACCATCTTGATATGACGACAGTAGGGAGAGAGCAAGCGTCGTTTTTCCACTGCCACGTGGACCGGAAATGACGATTACCTTCTTGGAGCGGAATTCTTCCAATGCGTTTTCCAAAAAGTGTTTATCTGCCATCTTTGCTCTATGATGTTTATTGTAGGCAATTGATTGAACTGCAAGAAGGAAAAAACGAACATTCTTCTAAGATGACTAAGTACCAGAGTTAACTATTCTTATAGGTGTTTGACTATACTATTTCTAACATAAATGAAAAATCCATAATTGTGCAACACAATATTGATGCTATGATAATAAGTTATATATGCTTGCTTCTTTTCATCTAATAAAAATTCTGAATTTTACATACCAAGTAAGTTTTTGTAGTGTGGATCTGCTTCAACCTGTGACATACTGCTTTCTACTAAAAAACGAAATAAATAATATCGTATCATATAATTGAATCAGTAGCTCGTTCTTATCCTACACCGAACGTATATTTCAAATGGTAGGATTAGGACCATGTATTCTAAAGGATTATGTCAAGTATCTAGATCTTGATGTTTATAAAAGGAAGTGACACACCTAACAAATAGCTGACTTACTACAAATGAGTGAAATATTTTGTCATAAATAGTAATAAATAATCAGACACAGAAGCCTTTAAAACATGGTTATATTTGTAAACAATAAAATGAATTAGCGTAATTAAATAAATGTACCTTCAATAAGGTCCACAGGTGAGTCTTCAGTGGTTGGTTTGTAGACAACGATTGGTTGTTTCATCATATCATGTCTAAAATGACGTTTCCATTCTTCTAAAATTGATTGGTCCATTATTATGACAACATCTAGCACATCATCATTGTCCCTGGAGTCAGTTGTCTCTACAATATTGTCCGCAATTGAACGAAAGTCTTTTGCCTTCTGTAAATCAAATGTACCTTCGCCAAATGGGTGAAGGAATACAACTAACTCGGCATCTTCATTACCGATGTGGCGCCAGTCAGTGGGACTTGAACATAGGATGCTTTCTCCCGCTTCATAATCCTGGTTATCAATAGCAGAGAGTGCCGCTTGTAGATATAGACCTTTGCCGTATCCTGACACGACCACTAGGTGATTATCTTCGATTTCTTTAATGATTCTCGCAGTTTCTGGTGGAGGTGTAAAATCACTGTTAAGTTTCTTCCTCAGCAACGACGCAAAGTTTTCTATTTGAAAATATAATGTAGATTACACAAGAAAAATGTTTAAGCATTGTAAATCAATAATAAGAATCATATAAACATTATATTATTTATTATATATAAAATTCTTTAATAACGAGTATCAACATTTACTGTCAGACATTGTCTCAATGGTTTAAACGACCACCAAATTATAATGGCAGTTACTTTTTGACATAAAGTTTAAAATTCATATGAAGGCTTACCTCTCATTTTTTCAAGTATATGATCAACAGTTTTGAAGCGTTTCAAACTTTTACCTCCGGCTCGTGTTCGCTTGACAGTGGTTTTATTCAGTGTCTTCATGGTTTTGCCTGTATCTTGTTTTATTTCATCTATCTTTACCTTAAGGTTTTCTATTTTTGTTTCCAACTTAACGATTTTGCTCATGTACCACGACCTTAGCACATCTCCTAGATCTGTTAATATAGAACTTTCTACCTCTTTAATATCTTGTTCAATCTTGTCTGCATAGACTTGACCCTTAACAGATAATGCTAAGTTTACAATGTTCACACTAAGGTTTGTGTATATATTCTTAAAATCATGTTCTGTTATTTTACACGTACCTGCGATATGTTGGAGCTCATTTCTGATTGTCCTGATTTTTTCGATACACACAAGATCATTTTGGGCTAAGCTAAAAATGTTTTTCAACAGAGCTGTTAATAATGTCACATCCCATGCGCCGATATCTGTTTGACCTTGCCCAGCAGATGGAAATAACAAATCAAATTGATCCTTTCGTATAACACATTTCGGTTTTTGGGTAACTCTATTGATATCTTTTCTCCTGAACGCTAAATAAGCATCTAATGTAGTGTATGGTGTCTTGAGATTAGGGTCTCCGGCTGCCTGTTTCAGAAACAATTCCCGTAGAGGGCCAGGACATATATTTACCAAAATGGTAACTAGTCGATAATATTTGTCTGTCATTGTGTGCTGAAAAAAAAAAACAACAGCAAAAAACTAAAACAACAAATAGGAACTCTAATAAATCATGGATGAAGTTCGCTGCATACTGTGCAGAAAGCATTTATAATCAAACATGGGAATTTTATTTAAATTCAAATTCTTATTAGCAATCAAGAAAATCAAAATAGGTTGAAAATAAACCAAGGTAAAACCTAATTTTTAATGAAAATAAATGAAATATTCTTGCCAATTATTTAGAAATTCCCATTACCCATCACAGTCAACCTTAATATGTAAACTCACAAAATGTGTTTTCTAAGCTGATGTGAAACTTGTTAATCATATAGTTCATTTGAGATGTTTTAGATCAATAAATAAATAAATAAATAAATAAATAAATAAATCAATCAATCAATCAATCAATCATCAGCCAGCCAGCCGGCAAGCCCGTCCGTCAGTCCGTCAATCCATCCATCCATCCATCCATCAATCAATCAATCAGTCAATGGAGGAAGGAATAACCATCCCTGGTTTTATTGTCCTGAAATGACAATTTGGACTTAACAGTAGTGCATTGAAGGGTAAGTGTGCATTATTATCCGGGATTGGAAGTGTAAACAACTGTTTATAACTTAAGTCTTTATCGTCGTACACTACAAAGTCCGAACGGAATTCTTATGATGTTTTTTTTTATTGTGTTTATTTTCTCTTTTTTGTTATCTATTTTGTTTTTCTTTTGTATAATCATTTCAACATATTTTGTTCTTATGAATTTCTTTTTTGATTATACAGTATTCAATTAGGAATACTGGAACCACCCAAGTTGAAAAAGGCCAAATAGAAGAAACTAAAATTACCACATATCATGTATACACAACAATAATGTCGTGCCGAACGATCTTCAAGGATCGAAAATAACATCATTGATTAAATGTACGGGGAGACTTTTAACAGCCACCACACGGCACAAATAACACGGATGTGACAATGAAATAGAGAAATACAGAATCCCTAAAGAAAGCCCAACACGACAAGATTGTAAAATGTTGCAGGCTCGGTTTGATTGAGCCTGTTCATGGACGGTACTGGAAAGTGCAAGTTACCGTCCACGCCCCCTAGCACCGGCTTAAGCAAAATTCAACATTTAACAAGAAAATGGTGAAATTTTGAATATAGAAACATCCGCAGATGTGTTCATACGGCGGTTACAAACCAGTCTTGCTATAGTCGCAGCCATTCGGTAACATGTTGGTTCCTATTTCAAAGCGCGGTGCAATTGAATACGGCAAAGCTAGGAGCCATGCTTTAATTTGTCGAAACTTATTTTGTAAATGGAGTAAAACGGACATAGTTGTGATGTTTATTTCGCCTTTTGTGTTGTTTATATTGGTGTTGAAGTTTAAAATTGACCATCATCGTGGACATATTGAAACCGACTATGAACATGTATTGTCTCAATGATATATAGATAACGTTTTGGAACTAACTCAAATTTGGTAAGTTTCCTTTTTCGCATGCTTATCGTAATGTAAAAGGCCGTATCCAATGTAACAGGCAACAAATACCCTGGGTGCTTGCCAGCAGTTAAGTATCTGAAACGATTTGCGTTTGAACACAATATCTATGTAACGAATCAATCTAATTTTAGATGAAAGGTAAAAGCATATTAACTTTTTCTGAAGCTGCTTAACACATACACTATTTGTATTCCATTTAAAATGTTGTCGGAAAGATAAAATACCAAAATATCATTTAATTGTGATTTGTTTTGGTGGAGAGGAGGGCGTGGAAAAAAGAGGGTGTCTGTGAGTCTCATGCTTTTGTTTTATTTTGTCTGGTAGACGGATAGATATACAGTGGCTTTTGATCCTGAACATTGACATCCAATATATAAGATTCATCTTCCGATAACCTGTATTTACTTACAAGTAGCGCAATCAAGTTTGCTGCAACTTTTAGTACGTTTCTATGGTGTCCTAGGTGAAGCAGTTAAAATGTCGCCTGTTAAATGCATCATCGACTAACTATCTTGTTTTTATCTGGACTTCTCTAAGAAGAGGGAGAGCTACTTTGCTTGGTTAAGTATTTGCATCTCAAAAACTACTGAAGGAAATGAGTTGAAACTTCACACGCTTATTTGAGAGCATAAAATTCATTATAGGTCATTATCATCCAATGTCCATAACCCTTATGTTGATTTTGACAAAACTATGCCTTTTTTGACTAAGAAAAAGAAGCTGGCTGTACTAATAAAGTAATATTACCTAATTTACGTATAATACAGTTTTATCTCTAACTGAGCATGCTGTTGATCCTGATGATACTTTCAACCGAGGATTTGAATCATTCTTGTGTTGGTTCAAAAAAGTCCCGCATTGTTTTCTTTTACTTGTTATAAATGTCAAATCACGAATTTTTTTATTACGAGAAATTGCTGTATTCTGGTTAACCTGGAATCACATACGCATGAGATTGTAAAGCGAATATGGCCCAAAGAGAACTCGCATCACGACTCCTTAATAACAAGAAGTTCAATGCTTTAATTATGACGCCAGCCAAACTTCGTACACTTTTACCGAATATTTCTATTGGATGATATTTACATATCAGGTACTTGTATTTCATGCAGGCTTGATGCAAAGTTGCTTATGTCGGAATCGAATGAATCAAATACCTTTAATTTAAATTACATTCTTTTAGTAGTCCTTATTGTGCCCTTCACAGAATGCGTACGCACCAATGCTGTTTCCGTTTCTAATGAAAATACCTAATGTAAAAAGGTATCATGTTTGTACATTCCATACTCGTCTATCATGCAATGTTCATGACAACAAACAACATGGACAAAAACTCTACAAGATAAAGTGAAGTTTAATATGGCTAGCTTATTGCAATATTTCTCATATAATGTGCGTTTATAACAAAATAAATGGTACTATGGTAATTGAAAAAAAAATATGTAAATGCATATGAAGTATATCTTAAACATATATGTATTTTCATAATAATACATTTGATAGAATACTCAAATATCACATATTAAGTCCACAATTAAACAGGTAACATGTAAATTTTAAGTTTTAAATCGTACAGTCTTATTTTGAATCGCTGTTTAACATCAATATGAGTTTTTGATCTTACTTGATATTTATTCAAATCAAATAAATTTATTTTCCTACACGAGGCTAGTTGTATAAAATTAATGATTCGAAATTGTACCAATAATCACATGAACAACGTTTAACTAAGACATAAAAGTTATTGTAAAAATAATAATTTACTTGTATTTATGTCATTTATCCAACTCTTTTCAGCAACGTGTTATCCGTTCAGAGGTAAGGTATAAACGAAAGTTGAATTATAATTAAAATTTAGATACCTTTATCAGTCTTTGGTACTTTATATGTGAAGTGACAAAAAAGTAGGAAGCATTTATCTAAAATCTGAAAATGTGTTGTGATAAACTAAAATAAGAGCCACCACCGGGCAGGAGCAACGCTCGACTTTTTATATTCTTCAAATTAAAAAGTTTAAACAAATCTTTTTTTAAATGAATAAAAAAAGATTTGTTGTTTTGCACAAATATTTTACAGCTAAAACTGTGCACCTGGTTCAAATTTCATAGCTGTACATAAAATCTAGGTAAACTTCTTTTAATGTTCAATTTTTATCTAAACATGCGCAAATGACTTAATTTCATAGCTGTATATCAAATGATAAGAAAGTCACTATAAATCTAGGTCAGCTGATATCAAAGTTCAATTTTACATCTTAACCTATGCATATGACAAAATATATCACTTCAACAAATTATCTAGGCCATCTGATATTACATCTAAAGCTTTGCACATGGTCCAAATGTCAAAGCTGTACATCAAGGGACATTGAAGTCTGTCACTTTGTCGAATTCTAGGTAAGCTGATAAGCTGATATCTAAGTTAAATTTTACATCTAAAACTGCGCACAGGTGTACATCAAAGGACAGAAAAGAAGGCCACTTTATCAAACTATCTAGGTCAGCTGATATCAAAAGAAAGGTATCATCATCATCAAAATCTAAGTCAAATTTTATATTTAAGACTGTGCATGTGGTCCAAATCTATAGAATTAAATAATCGAATTTCATTAATTTTACCTCGGTCAAGGTCAATAAAAAGGTCAATGACAAATATAAATTATTCAATATATTCAATTATACCAATTTGTTTGGTAGCAAGTCTCTATATTTGTCCAAATATAAATAAAATCTGTAAATACATAAGAAATTTATGACAATTTTACCAAAATTCAATAATTTGATATTGACGGTCAAGGCAATTTAAAGCTCATGGTAAAGGTCAGTTCAACTATTTAGAATGTATTGTCCAAAAGGTTGTTTTGTCCAAGTGTGAAGATAATCCATTAATTAATTACAAAAATATGACCTTTAAGGTAATGGTCATTTTTGCGGGAAAGTAAATGTCTTCTGGTCGGTTTAAAGGTTGTTCTGTTTAAGTATGAAGACAATTCTTTAAAAAGAATAACAATGTTATAGTCACTTATAGCATAAATTAGTAAATTCCAAGCAACCGTTAGACATTTGACTTTGAAGGGTAAGGTCATTTATAAATGAAAATCAAGTTAAGTTTAGTTTTTCTTGACGGTATTGTCCCAAGGTTTGTTGTGGCCAAGTATGAAGACAATACACTTAGAACTTAAAGATCCTGTAACACAATTTTGTCATGGTTTTATATCATAAATATGATGCTCAAATTAAGATTTATCAAAATTGTAAGTTCCAAAAAGCATTATTTATAAGGATATTACCGAATATAATATTTCATGTAAATTAAGGGAGGTAATTAGAAATTCATTTTCTATAAAGCCCAACTTTATATTTAATGATTACATAAAATATGCACAAATATTTGCAGTTCATACTTTACATATTCTTTGATTTTTTGAAAATTGTTTCATAAGCATAACTATGTACATATGTATAATTTCACTTAAGTGTGGTAACAACCTGAATGTCAACATACAGGATCTTTATTAACGAGAACGCCGACATGACTGTAACATCACCTCTATTTTTTTCTTTGAAAAGAAAAAATATAAAAACAACAACAAAAAAATACAAAAACAAAAACAGCAAAAACAAACAACAAAAATCGTCGAGCCAAAACATGTGGTTTTTCGCTACTGTGTAACAATTAAATTGACTTAACTGCTCAAGATATTGTAAGGCATCACATAAGGTATCACAGTCATATATTTGATCTGAAATGAACATAAATGTTAATGCTTCTCATTATCACTTGTCAACTTGAACCACAACGCTATAAACGGCATCTTATCCTGTTTTGATAAAATATACGCTTATTAAAGGTTAATGGATAATAAGCAACTTTAAAAATGACATCATACGTGTCATAATATAAAATATGTTGTTTTCATGTTTAGATATGCCTGTAATAAAATATTTTGTACTGTCAACATAGGTAGAATTTTCTATGAAAGTCTACTGCATTCCTGTGTAGGGCATTGACCGACTTGTCCTTCGTAGTGTGTGCATGCGCGAGAAATTGTTCTTCCGGTCGATAGCAACGGCCCGCGTCGTAAAATGTATACCAATGTACACATGTTTTAATTCGTTTTCTTTTTCAATGACGCACTGTGAGATAGAATGTTTTACCATACCATATAAAACTTCTATTTTACGACGGACATGCAAGTACTTGAACGTTTTGACAAATAAATGCATTGTAAGAGAAAACAACTTAATAATAAAATACCATACATGAATTGATATATCACTTCTGTATTAAAATAAGTGTCAACGATCCTTTAAATAGTATAATATTCACGATAGCGTCAGCGGTCAAACATAAACATGAAATAAGTAAACACGCAAATTGCATTAAGTAAGGATACGTACTTAAAGGAGTAATACAGTGTGCCGCTGGCAATACTTAAGAAGACTTAAATTTTACGTAGTATCTATAAAATTCAACGGAAAACGGTTTCCGGAGATCAACTTAAACTATTGATTATTCAAGCGATACGCCTGCGTATATCTCGTCAGCAAAATATATATCTTATAATAAAGCTATAAGTAGTTTAAAGGGAAAGACAAGGTTAGAATAAAAACTTGATTTCAGAAAAAGAAAACTATAAATAATAAATCTGCAAATTTTCTGCCGCCAAATAATAATATTAAACGAATGATAACAAAATTTAAATCGCTAAATCACCGAT